GTCACTTCCTGCTTTATTTTGAAATGTGAAATATGTTTGTTATGAACATCAGTTACTCCAAATTCCCACCTTTCTTTACCCGCCTTTTCATGCCGCAACTCCTACATAACTCCTCCGAGTTGACTGATTGCCCGATTTGTTATCACCATTCAGGATTTCATGCCATTTCTTACTGTCCCCTGTTTTGGTGACTTATGAATGTTTTTGTTTGTTTTATTTGTAATTTATGCCTTTTTTGAACGTTTGCCTATCTTGATAGATTTGTTTCCGCTCTCTGACTAAACACCTGTGTATAACCAGTTAAAAGTTCTGAATTTTGGTCTCCTGTGTCTCCCTGTGGGAAGGTTGCTCTTGCCTCCCAGCAAGAAGGTCCTGTGTTTGAATTCACCATCTGGCTAAGGCCTTTCTGTGGATGTTCTCCCTGTGTCTTCTTGGGTACTCCAGATTACTCCCACAGCCAAAAGATTTGCATCTAGTGGGGCTAGGTTAATTGGTGAGACTAAATTGCCCAAAGGTGTGAATGTGAGTGTGAATGGTTGCATGTCTTTCTGACTGGCAACCTGTCCACGGTGTGCCTCTCGCCTCATGGCACCTGGGCTAGGCTCCAGCTCCCTGTGATCCTGAATTGGATAAATGAAAGAACATGGATGGATAGATCCCTATAAACAAACAATTATTCCAATTCATTCTGACTGGGGATGAAGACACTTTGTTTAAAACCCTAAATGAGAACCTGAAATGGTTTGTCGAATCTTTTGTTAAATGTTGGTAGATTTCACTTGATAATGAAAACTTTGACCTTCTGATGGCCCTACAGGAGAATCACCAGACAAAATTTGCCTTCCGGGAATTATAATTACCATTACCAAATTTTATGGCAATACATCCATTGAGTGCGGCTATATACTGTAATAAGTGGAAACTAAAAACTTTAAACATAAACCAGCTTTCAGTGAATATTGATCTGTTTTACTCAATAATGAATAAAAAAGTGAGGGAATCACCAGTAGAATGTATACTTTGGGAATATTATGAAAATCTTACCAAATTTGCTGGCTGTCTCTATCAGATATTTATTTGCAATTAAAAAAAACCCTGCTGTGGCCTCTTCACAATAAAAGTCTTTGTTGTTCTCCAGTGGGGTTGTACTGTGAAGGAAATGTTGACTGAGTATTAGCCACATGAAAAAAGCTGCGTGAAGTGTTGAGTTTAACACAAAAAACAGTCAAATGTTTCTAAAGTTGCCTGAGAAACTTTGCACAACTCAGAGAATGGTGGGATTCTTCTCGCTTTTATATCAATGGTCGCTGCAGTAAACCCACAATATTTGATTACAATGACTATTATTGATTCTCGTGGCTCATGCTGACATTTATCCCAATTTAACAAGAAAACAAAAGTCTAATCTCTCACATTTCATGTTATCTGATGTACCTTCATCTCTCCCACAGCCCTTAACAAAGCATGACCATGTGTCTCCATGTTGGGGGAATGTACATTTGAAGCTATGAAGAACATTTCAATTAAAGTGAACCAAGTTTTAAAGGCAGACATAATGTCAGAAAAGGGCTTTTAACATTTATTTTAGTTCCTGCTTTCTTAGTCTTTCCTGCAATCGGTTGCTCAGAACATATTGTTTAACTCAGTTAATCACATAGAGTACAAACATATGGCATTTTTGAATGTCTCTATGGTATTGTAGGAGTTTTGCTGACTTTTGCTAGTTTGCATTTGTTCCAGTAGAAATCCAGAGATGAACTCAACTGTTCCCACCATCAAATCTAATTTGCACAAAACTTCCTACACGGTCGTGTTGATCGTTTTTTTTGCGCTCTGGTTAATTTTTCTATTGCAAGTTCAGTGTGATCTAACCAGAGCGCTACACTAACGAGCTTTGTTTTCTTCAGTGATTGTTATTAGTAAGATCCATGTCACATTTTCCCACAGTGGGTAAAATGCCATTTTTAAATTCTCTGAGTGTGTCTCAGGAATCTGGTTTCACAGCACATCTGACAAAGCTATTCTGACTGCGACCTGCTTTTAATGCCTCTTAATCATCTACCGGTGCTACGCCTTAGCTGAACAACTTCCAGAGCAAGTAGTCTGAAACATCATGTTGGATTTAAAAAACCACAGTCACCTAGGAGGCAATGACCAGTTAATTCATAGAGTAATTATATGTGTGCAGATTTGACAACAGAGCAGAGGAGTGGATATGGAGCGGGAGAAGATAATTAGAGAAAAGAAAGGGAAAAGATGTAGGTGTGGAGGAATAGAAAGGAGAGAGAGGAGGGAGGAAGACATGTGTGGGAGTCTTGTGGCAGGTGTTTTTGAAGACACTGAAAGCAGATGATGAAAAGAGGCTGTCACATTTCCTAACAAGGTTTCCCAGCCTTCCTTCCTTCCCTCTTGCTCCCCTGTGTCAGTGAGTGTGTCCACACCTCCCTGGCCATTCTTCTTTCTCTCTATCCCCTTGCCTCCGCCTGCGGTGTTGAGCCAGAGTGACGCCTTAGCACTGCAGTGTAATCTCTGGCCCTAGAGCTGCTTCGTATGAGCCAACCAATTGGACGTAGTGCTCAGAGCAAGAAATGGCCATCCACTGGCTGCGTTTATTCTACACAAAGCCCACCCTCCCTCCTGTCGGTGATGCTTAGTGTGCTCGTTACAAACCACGGGCTCTATCCTTCAATACCTGCAGGTGTGGATTTGCCAGGTGTTGCCCTGACTGTTTATCACAAATGAGATGAGATGGTATGTGACCAGGAAACTGGAACATCATTGATCAGTATTGGTTTTGACAAATGTGGTTCTTTGATGATTCAAAATATCACATGGGAGCACGATTTTGACTTTTGGGAGTAACAAAATGCTATTGATGTGGTTAAAAGCTCCCAAGGCTAGAGAGTAAGGTTTTGGATCCAGTTTTGTCTTCATATTTTGTATATCTTCATCTCTGCACGCATCAGGGGAGAAAAGGCTGCAAGCGCCGCAGCAGTCAGTCGATAAAGACAAAAAACAGTTAAAAATATCTGACACCATTTCATTGATGTCAATAAATAACCTGTTTTGTTCAAAATATTTTTAAAACATGAATTGATCACATGGTCATAACGCATTGACTGTGGGAATGCAGCGATTATTCAGTTAACTGACTCACAGAAAACTGATTTGATGACTCACTAAGAGTTGAATTTTACACAGAGAGGATTTGTTATGTTTGGTTTAAGGAAAGAGTAAAAGTGACAGTGCAATATTACTAAAATGCAATATCATACATTCACCACAATAATGATGGCATCACAATACAGCAATTCTACAACACATGCAAGCTATTCATCTGTGATGCATTACAATTACTGTGCAAATAAAGAAGAAAATGTTGTATTTTTTTTGCCTTAAAAAAGCTAAACTCCACATATTACTTAAAGCTGACTCATTATGCTCATTTTCATTTCCATATTTTTATTCTTGGAGTCTAATTGGCAAACTTTGCATGGTTCCTCTTTCAAAACAAACCCTGTTTCTCTTCCTCTGGGGCTCAACTCATCATGTATCTGAAACAAGCTGTTTTAGCTCCCTCTTTCAGGCAACTGTCTTCTGATTGGCTGCCCCTCATATGCAGAAAGTTTAAACAGCATGTGGGTGGAGCTTCTGTTCTCACAGCCAGATCTGTGCCTGTGATTACCCTATCAGGAATATCTGCTCTCAGTGACATCATCCAGAGTCAAGAGTAGAAAAAAACAGTTTGAAACAGTGTGTAGAACCGTTTGAACTTTCATCTCACGGGGATTAGAAATGCACTGACCTCATTATGTAACAGTATATCTAAAACAGTTTCTTCTTTTCACCACAAGCTGACTTCAGCTTCACCTTCATTCATTTGATAAGCACCACTATGAGGAGTCATGAAGCGGTGACTCTGGCGAGTCAGACTGATGGCATGTTTTAATAAAAATAGTGAAATATTTTGCTGTGTTTTTATTGCATTCCTTCAATTTCCACCTTATGACAAACTGGTTGGCAAAAATTTAGAGTGTTTATCAGATGACGCAAAAATATTTGAGAAAACAGGAGATTTTGCACTGATCTCCGATGTTTTACGGACCACAGCGTGAATCAGAAAAGCGGTCGATAGCTGCAGGTCACCTGTTGACTTGGACCTGATCGGAATGGCTGCAGAAGAAGAGGGATGGTTTACAGGATTGATGTGGACTCATACTCTCTAACCATAAAATTTCACCTTTTTTTTTTAACATGTACATGATTTCGAAAAATAACATGCTCATTTTCTCTATGTGTGGCATAAAACAAGGCCATGGGGATAAAATACAGAATTATGGTGTAAAACTCAGAAATGCATCTTCAGGAATACATTTAATGCTAGTCATACTAGTAGGCCTTTAATTTTCTAGGAACATGCACATGCACTGCATTCACATGTTTGTTCATTATTAATAATCCTGGAGCTCCTTTCAAACAAGCCCAGCCAGCCAACAGTGGCCTCTCCACCAATCTGCTCAGGTTTTGATAAACCACCTGGGAGTTCATGTGGAGCAAAAAAAAAAAAAACTCACCCTCTGTGTGACACAAATAACAGCAGTGTGTGTGTGTGTGTGTGTGTGTGTGTGAGAGAGAGAGAGAGAGAGAGAGGGAGGGAGGGAGAGGGAGGGAGAGGAGTCTGCTATTGTGTGAGAATGTGAATTAGGTCAAATGTTTGCTTGCAACAACGACTAACCATGCCCCTGTGAGGAAGAACGCTGAAGCCCGTGTGGAAGAGGCTCCGTCTTTATCCGTGGCTGCCCCTGCCTCTGACACCATGTGACACTTACCTATCTAAATCAAATCAGAATAAATATCATTTCTTGAGATCATATGATTGCCATCCTATCCGAAGTGAGATGCTGGAGAAATGGTGTGTTCACACTCAATGATAGCCCTCCACGAAGGGCTTGCGTGCGTGCGTGTGTGTCTCAGGGGAGGTTGTATGTATGTGGCTCATGATGGCACCCACTCAGCAGGCATCAATCACACACTGGGTGACGGTTCGGCTGCTGGCTGCCCGGCTCGCCGCGCCTCCGGCTCTGGCAAACTGCAGTGATGCTGGTGACAACAGGTTACAGACCACGACTCAAATGAAGCCGCCTGAGACCGAAAACCATGCAGGGTGTGAACGGGGATTATTTAGGGTGGGAGGTGAGGTGGAGGAGGGGGTTAAAAAAAAAAAAAGAAAGGAAAAGATGCCCGTGCAGGTAGATGCTATAGGCGGTTATAGAAAATGAAAAATGTCAGGCTGATGCAGTGTGCTTTTATCGTGGTTTCATTAAGCCTGTAGCTCGACACATTTTTCCCTCCCTTTTTTTCTCCTCTAATCATCAAAGCGTTTCCGATTAATTCCAGATCAAAGTGGGGATGGTAAAGGATGTTGTGTCCCTGAGGTCAGGTGGTAACTTACACGACAAAGCTTGTCCCCACCACCCCAACCCCCAGCTCCCCAATTTATGAGTGCTAGAAGGGAGGGAGACGGGGGGAAGGGGGGCTGCAAATGTTAAGGGCAGGTCTAACGTTAATGATCTTTTACGCTTTACAGTCAGAGAAAAACGCGTGATCGGAGGTTTCCTGTGCCCCTCTCTCGTCAAATCACTACTAAGTTCTCTGATGAATCCCTTAATTTCGGGGTTTAAATCACGCAAGACAGCGCAGTAACGCTGAGGTGGGTGCACACGTGTCTCTGTGTTAAATGTATGACCAGGGGAAATGAAGAAACGGCAGGTCGGGCACAAAGAAAAACAAGCAACGCTGCACAGGCTACAGACCCTGGATGAATTAAGGATGTTGAGTACGTGTGCAGTTTATTGAGCTGAATGTATAGGCACATATCAATGACCCCCTCCGTTCACTCTCTCCCTCCTCCCTCCAGCCTGTCACACAGCCACGGGCACAGAGCATTGCGCTATAGCATCCCTGTACTCACTCAGCTCAGAGATTTTGGGAGGCGCAGCGTCAACCCCGGTCGCTTCCTTCAGTGTCTGCTTCCCCTCGGACCGGCCGCTCCCCGCGAGCATAATCAATCAAAGGCGATAACTTGGCTTTCCTGGGCTTCACAAAACAGGAATGCACCATATTGCATGTGGCATCCTTCGAGCGCCCGCTGACCCCCTCGTGCGCCCTGTCCGTGCTCCTCTGCTCCCCAGCCAGAAGGGAGGCTGGGAAGTGTTAACCTGCCTTTCTGCTGCCGCGGCTGTATCTCCACTATTATCTCCAAGGGCCAGGTTTCTCCTCCACAGTTCCTCAAGCCCCCTCCATCTCTGCTCGCATCCCCTCGACTCAGCTACTGTGCTTCCATGTGACACAGGCAGAGCTGGAGACCCCCCAATTATGATTTTTGTCTTTTTGATTCTAGCGTCATCCCTCGGCAGGGCTTGGAAGTGCGTGTGGAGGTCTAATGTATGGAGTGACCCTGGTTTAGAAGAGTTTAGGAGGGTTTCTCAGTCCCCGCTGTAAAATCAACTGTTCTGTTAAAAGCGCATATACTCCGATTTAATTCTGATGCAGAAAAAATACAATTTGATCTATATCAAAAAATGTGGAAAATTCAGAGTCAGAATTATAGGCAGTGTACTGCTGAAAATGAACAAAAATAGTTTAAGGAGTAGTATTTTTGTCCTCGAAATAACTTTTCTGGTGTTGTTTAAATGGTTGATGTGTGAGGCAAGGTTCATGGCAGCCTATAGTAAAACCTTTAGTGTCAGAAAAACTCCCATGACCAATTTTTTAAAAATTGAACCTGGACGTGAGATCACACTTCACAGCACGATCATGACCCCTATAAGAGCCTCTGGTGTGAGATACATTTGCCCTATCCACTTAGGTGAAAGCTGGAGTCAGGGCAGATGAGATGAGATATATCACATTTCCCTAAAGTTATTTTATGTCCAATGTGATGTAATAAAGGGATATAAAAGTAGGCCAGTGATGATTTTTCACTGGTGTAGTTTGGTGTAACCTTGCCATACGCAGACCTTTGAAGCCTTTACCTCTACCACTACCACCACCTGCTGGTGTTTTCAGAGCATTGTGGAAGCGCAACCGCCTATCAGGGCCCAGTAGACGGTGTTGCTGTATGAGGGTCGATCCGTGCCACAGAGGATTGTAGAGGACAGGTACTTTAAGCAGCTCAGTAAATGTCCTGAAATAGTTCATATGTCTAATTGTTGTTTGTGTTTCATACTGGCACTAAGCATATATTCTAAGTACTCATCTTCCTCAAACCCTGACCAATTTGTTTTTGCAGCTTCTTTAAGCAGAGATTTTTAGAAATCTGACTGACATCCTGCTTTTGATTAGAAAAAAACATGAGTGAGTGGGAGGAATGAGAAATAACGCATCAGAGTTTATTTTACAGTTTTAAAAGGTGCCAGTTTTTATCTAAAACTAAGACGTATCAAGGTTAGTCCAAGTGCTATTTTACTTTAAGCTGTGTTAATATTATTTTACTATTTTAGTTATACAAACTGAATTATTACAGCATCTGCCTTGCTTCGGTTCAGGCAAAAGAACATTGATTTATAAGGAAAGGAATGAAAATTGCTTCCTGGATAAACCGAGGGGCAGTACCAGGGTACAGTAGAAGATAAATATGGATTATTTTGAACTTTGAATCATACATAGGCTATCATATTTTATGTGGGCTTGTTATGACAATTTTTTTGTTTTTTATTCTTGGCCTCTACAAAAATGATTTTGCTTGCTTTACAGTATATTTTAGGCTACAATGTGAAGCCGTTCAGTCCTGGGAGGCGATGTAAATCCCTTTGGGGTTGTCTCAGGAAACAAAAAAACGTCTGCCAAATCAAACATGCAGAACTACCCGCTGTGGTTCCCTCTAAGCTGAGCGCGTGAGCAATCGTGCACCGCTCACATGGTCTCCCCACACAGAAAATCTGCGCTGCGCACACAAAAAATCCAGTCTGAATTGGAATTAAAGTAAATACATTTATTTATTTTATTTTGCTGATTTTCTGTGCGTGGAGACTATCAGCAGTGCGCGATTGCTCACGCGCTCAGCTTAGAGGGAACAGTTGGGGCCCTTGCTAATAAAAGAGAAGCTACAGTCAGCTTTAATACCCTGTATTC